CTCCCATACGCTCCCTGATGAGGGATTGAACCTGCCACCTAGGTATGTTCCTGACCAGACATCGAACCTGCAACCTTCTGGTGTATGGGACGATGCTCCTACCAACTCAGCCACCAGATCAGGATGAAAAGTAAGCTTTTCAAAACGACTCAAGGCTGATACGGGCTTTAGTATCAACAGATATTAGAAGCTATGAAAATTGCAATATAATTTTAATAATATAACTTTTAATAACACACCATATAACTTTAACTGTTTCATTAGTATAATTTGCTGCAATTTCTATTACATACTACAGACTTGACTATTATAAACATGTGTATACTCTTAAATAAAGTATTAAATTAGATAATAATTTCCCTCTTACATGGGATCTTTTGTATATGCTTATTATTTGTATAAAATGTTCAAACTTCCCAAAATATCAACACATTCACAAATATAAGATACAAAATTTAAGTAAATAATGCTTTTCAGTATGAGCACTGTTCATACTACATATTGCAATAAAGGTAAATATAAATTTATGTAATATATTTTCACATTTAGGAATATTATAAATCAACTACTTGGTTTTACATTCTTAATAAAAATTATTTCATAATTTAAAAGAAATTATTTGTATTAACATTCTTAGAGTTAGGTATTATAAATTTGTTAGATTGATAAATGAAGACAAAGATACATTGTTAAACAAGATAACCACAGGGCTTTGAATGATCCAAAAATTATGGTACATATACACAATGGAACTCTATGCAACAGAAAGAAAGAAGGAGCTCCTACCCTTTGCAACAGCATGGACGGAACTGGAAAGCATTATGCTGAGTGAAATAAGCCAGGCGGTGAAAGACAAATACCATATGATCTCACCTTTAACAGGAACCTAAACAAAAAAACAAACAAGCAAGCAAAATATAACCAAAGACACTGAAATACAAAACAGGGGGACAGTGACCAGAGGGGAGAGGGGAGGGAATTTCAGGGGAAAAAGGGGAAGGATTTACAGGAACTAGTATAAAGGACACAGGGACACAACTAAGGGGGGGTGGAAATGGGAGGGAGGTGGGGTAAAAGACAGAAAACTATACTTGAACAATAATTAAATAAATAAATGAAAATAAAAACAAATAAAAATGCCTGGACAACTCAGAAAAGTAAACTTACAATGAAAGTCTTAATAAAGTACTATAATAGGATTCTATGAGAACTCATAGGGAACATTCAAGTGCCTAATTAGTAAACACTCACATTAATCTTTACATTCAGTATATTTCTCATTTCTGAACATAATAATACTTGCTAAAAAATTAGTCTCAGGTAAACTTAAATTGTACATATTCTTTTTTTTACAAATTCAATGGTTCAAATTATTATTTTTGAGGGTAATCAGGAACATGAAAGAATACAACAGGACATATCTGTCCAATTTTCGCAGACCATTTGTGAATGAACTATCTTTAACCCATTGTATGTGCTTACTTCCTCTGTCAAATGTTAATTGACTATAAAGATGTGGGACTATCTCTGGGCTTATTCGATCCCACATGGCAATGTGCCTGTGTTCATGCCAGCACCAGGCTGTTTTGAGTACTTTGGCCCTAGACTGATATTACTGGGTAACACGATTCCTCCAACTTTGTTCTTCCTCAGGATCACTGTGCTATGTGGGGCCTTTGTGGTTCCATATAAATTTTTGAAATACTTATTCATGTTCTGTGAAATATGCTGTTGGCATCTGGATAGGAATTGTGTTGAATCTATAGATTGTTTTGGGTAGTATGGACATTTTAAAGGTGTTAATTCTTCTAGTCTGTGAACACAGTACGTGCTTCCACTCGTTCATTTCCTCTTCAGTTGCTTTCTTCAGTGTCTCATAATTTTCCGAGCACAGATCTTTTATCTCTTTGGTTAGGTTTATGCCTAGGTATTTTATTCTTTTTGAAGCAATTGTAAATGGGATTGTTTTCTTAATTACCCTATCTGATAGTTCATTTTGGCATATAAAAAGGCTGCTGATTTCTGGGTAGTAATTTTGAATCCTGCTACTTTGCTGAATTCATTTATCAGTTCTAATAGATTCCACCATTTATCTTGGTGGAATCTTTGGGATTCTCTATGTACAGAATCATGTCATCTGCAAATAAAGACAGTTTTACTTCTTTCCTTCCAGTTTGGATGCCTTTCATTTCTTCTTATCTGATTACTGTGGCTTGCACTTCCAGTACCGTGTTGAATAAGAGAGGTGAAAGCGGACATCTCTGTCTTGCTCCCAATGTTAAGGAAAAACTAAAAAGTGTTTTTCCCATTGAATATGATGCTACCACTGGATTTGTCATATATGGCCTTTATTACGCTCAGGTATATTCACTCTATTCCCACTGTGCTGAGAGTTTTTATCATAAATATGTGCAGAATTTTATCAAATGTCTTTATGCGCAGGAAAATGAAATTAGACCACACACAAAAAAAAACTTCAAAATGGATCAAACACTTAAATGTTAGACCCCAAACCATAAAAGTCCTAGAAGAAAACATGGGCAGCAAAATCTTGGACATAGCTCATAGTAATATTTTATCAGATATATCTCTAGGCAAGAGAAACAAATGAAAAAATAAACCAATGGGACTATGTCAAACTAAAAAGGTTTTGCACAGCAAAGGACAATGTCAGCAAAATAAAAAGACAGTTCACACAATGGAAGAGCATATTCTCTGATACAGCTGATAAGGGGTTAATATCTAAAATGTATAAAGAACTTATAAAACTCAACACCCCAAAAATAAACAAACCAATTAAAAATGGGCAAAGGACCAGAATAGACATTTCTCCAAAGAGGACATATAGATGGCCAACAGACATATGAAAAAATGCTCAATGTCACTTGTCATCAGAAAAATGCAAATTAAAACAGCAATGAGATACCTCATACCTGTGAGAATGACTATCATCAATAAATGTAGAAATACCTAGTACAGGTGAGAATGTAAAGAAGGGGAACTCTAGTGAACTGTTGGTGGGAATGCAGACTGGTGCAACCACTGTGGAAACCAGTATGGAATTTCCTCAAAAATTTTTAAAAGATCTAACTTTTGACCCAGTGATCCCACTTCTAGGAATATATGCAAAGGAACCCAAAATACTAATTTAAAAGAACGTAAGCACCCTTTTGTTCATTGCAGCATTATATACAACCAACAAGACATGGAATCAGCTCAAGCATCCATCAGTGAATGAGTGGATAAGGCAACTCTGGAGTATTTACACAAAAAAATACTACTTGGCCATAAAAAGGAGGAAAGTTTTACCCTTTGCAATAGTGTGGATGGACCTGGAGAGCATTGTACTAAGTGAAATAAGCCAGTCTGGGAAAGACAAATACCATATGATTTCACTCATATGTGGATCTAATGAACAAACTGAACTAGCAAGCAAAATAGAGAAAAACTCATAGAGAGCAGGATGCAAACTAAGGTGGGGAGGGTAGGCGGTGGAGGGATTGAGCAAGAAGGAAAAAGGACTCATGGACACAGACAACATTGGGGTGACTGTGGCAGGGAAACAAGAGTATAAGGGGACTAAATGGTAATGGAAAAATACAATAAAAATTTCGAAGAATAAATTTTAAAAAAGAATACAATAGGAAAATTAAACAATGCATTTATCTACTAGTCTTTCTTTGATTTGGTACACTTAAAATACTTAGCATTTATCAAGTTACTATTGTTTATCAGACTTTGTGAAGAAACCATCCCCTACCTCATTTAACTCTCTCAACCTATTAAAGTATTCTTTAAGCCTATCAAAGTACTATTATTATGCTCATCTTTTAGATGTGGAAACTAGGGTTTACAGTAGTCAAAGAACTTGCCCAAAGTGATAAAGCCAGAAGCTAAGGGTTTTTCAGGTGCAGATAGACCTCTGACAGTGTGAGGGAAAACCATTAAGCAGGAACAGTGACCAGGAGCTTTGGTGGAGAGCAGGGTGGCAGCCAGCTCAGTTATCCAGTCTTAACCTGTTCGTTCCCAAAGAGCAGTGAAGAGACTGGCTCTGTGAAACATTACTCTGCACACAGAAGTCTCTCACAAATCTTTTTAGCATCTGAAAACTCATCTAAAGTGAAGAGCCCCTAGTATGAATAATAAAGAATATTCCAACATAGTGAAGGCAAACTACAAAGTTATGTATCTCATTATTTACATCAAGATATCCATTATATCAAATCACAAAGACACAAACTCATGTATTTGCTGTTACATTTGTAACTTCAACTAATTTTAAACAGGGCGTGTGTGTGATTATTTTTATGATGGTACCAAATTCCAGAAATACTCTTTTGCCTTGACATTTATACCTTGAATTATAGCTTTCTATCATAAACTTTTATCTAGGTATTACTTATGTACCTTGACTTTATTACAGTAATCTTTATGTTAGTACTTCAGTTCTAATGAAAGAGCTAAGCCTTAAATTGAGCCAAATATCTGGTAAACATTATTCCTTTTTATGTTTAATTCAATTAATACATAAAAGTCACTTATCACAGTGGAATGGAGAACATAATTCCTTGTTTGAAGGGGACCCTAAAACTACAATTCAGATTTTTGAAAAGTATAATCTAAAAACTATTGAATAAATCCAGGTGTATTTTCCAAAAATCAATTTTAGCTCTTTAATTCTTGTAATACTCTTTAATTTAATATAATCAGTTTGCTATACATTATAAAACCTTATTCTTTGACTTAGTGGGGAAACATGTTCTCATTTGTTAAGCCCTTATAGAAGAATGTTTTAGAAAACTGCAGTACGCATGACCGACTGAAATGAACTACTTGTATTTTCCAGGGAGCCAGGGGAGCCAACTTACAAGAATAGAAATTTACTTATATTTAGCACTATTTATTCACACAAAAAACTGACCTTACAGTTTTTAAAAATAGTTTATTTTCTACAATCTATTTTTATTTCTCTATATATTGAAAAAAACTTATGCCCCAGAAAATAATAAGAATACAAATGTGTACACATGCATAATAAAGAAGTCTGACTATATTACACGTTCCTTTTAAAATGAAGAGAATTCAAAGGTAGAGAACACCCTGAGTTTGGTTAAGTGACTGAAGTAAACATAGGAAAGAGTCACCAGGACATTTTTGCAAAGGCCCAGTACGGGGGTGATGGTTCCCAAGTCAATGATTAAACTGAGTCTGACAAAAATGAAGGGTAAATCCTGGAGCAGGATGCCCAGGGAACTCAGGAGAGGGTTCTGAGGAGTGAGTATGATTCGCAGAAGGGAAATAAAACTAAATATGTAAACCGGGTATATCCAGGCTGACTTGTATACGGCTTGGTGACCGGCCACACGCATCATCTCCACCGTGTCTGACCACAGCAGAAAGCTCCACAGGAAAATCTCCGCTCGCACATCCGATTGGGACATGGTTCTCAGGATTCCAGATTGGAAAGAGGGCTCCTGGGGCACAGCCTGCTCAGGAGCAGACCGCTGCGCTGTGGCTGCTGACGGCTGAGATAGCTCTGTCCTCCTGGCCGGCTGGGGATGCGTGGCGTTTCCTTCATTTTGCCTCCCTTGATCCGTCACAGTTTTTATTTGTTCCAAAGTGGAAGTAGGGATGTGCTTATCTTCATTACCTGAAATAAGTTTATTTACTTGTTGACTTATTTGAGTTGATTAAACATTTTAAAACTTTACGTAACTTGAAAAGATTTAAATTTTTTTAATTTTACTTAAATTTAAAATTAAACAATAAAATTTATGTGTTCTCTTATTTGAGGTCTGTTTTACACATGGAACTTCAAGATAATGGGTCACACACTGGAAAAAATAGAGACGGAGAAGGCTCTTCATGTCTTTGCAGATCCCTAGTTATGGATCCTGAGTCCTTTTTACCATTTCATAGTGAGAGCCATTACTGGTCACCGAGCCAAGCATTTTTACACATTATCTCTTTACACTCTCAGAGAAATTAAGAGAGAGAGATTATTATACTATTTTATAAATCTGGAAACAGGGGCCCACAAGGTAAAATGACACCCAAATTCAAGTACACAGTTAGTAATGGATGAACGGAGCCTGAATTGACACCCAGACCTGTCTGGCTATGGTTGACAATCTCTTAACTTTATGGCTGCTATTACCTATCTAGAGGCAATCACGTGCTAATTATAAAACATACACATCTCATAAAGTCAAATGAATCTAGTTCAATAGTCAAATCAAAGTACAATGGTCCAATCTTGTCATTTAATAAGAGGCCCATAGAAATTACTACAGCCAGATCTTCAGGCTTGGAGTCTGGTGCTGAAAGAGAATCTATTTTACCAGGAGGAAGTCTCAGTGACAGGTGACACTCTGAATCTGAGACTCTAAATCTATATTCTTAAACTGGCACAACATGATATTGAATGTAAACTGTAATTAAAAGATAAAGTTTAAAGGAGCAGGGCCTTTTCTCAACGACGTCACGCGGAGTGTGAGTGCGTGCCTCTGTGTACGCGCAGGTGTTGATGTCGGGAGTTACGAAGAGATCTTCAAATCTCAAAACTTACTAACACTACTGGTAGTATGGTTTTCATACATGAACAAGCTATAGCACATTATTTTTCAAACATTTATCCACTTCACCATTTTTGTTGCTAAGAAATTATCAGGCCTCGACAAATCTTACTCATCAAATATGCTGAGCTTCCATATTACTTGATAAGATAAGATTTAAAGGAATCATTGGATCGAATATGCATAAAGGTTAAAGAAACAAAATCAATAAAACTTGGTTGAAATATATTGAGCTGAAGTAAAAACATTTAAAATTATTAAGGGTAATGATTAATAAAATGGCTACTACCATTTTAAAAGTATTGCTTAAAAGAAAAATAAATCTTGGTTTTCTTTTTAAACAATTAACTATTTAAAATTTTCAAGTGTGATTCAAATATATTCATAAACTGAAAAGAATATAAATCCTCAATGAAATATTATTTACTGCTGGTATGAATCATTCATAAATAAAGGGTAGGATTCATGACCCTTAAAAACTTTTGTACCAACCTTTGATGTCACCATGGAGTGAATATCATTTTAATAAATAATACTCAAGTAAGAGAGAAAATTATATACTAATTATCATTATTTTAGTGTTCATAAAATCACCTCTTTTTAGATGCAGATGCTCATTGGCACCAGCTCTCATTTTACGAAACAACACCAATATAAAAGATATTTCTCAGAGTATGCCGCGTCCTAGAGAATTCTCTTTCACCTCTCTTAGAAGAGGAAGCTGTTTGAATGAAAATCCAAATTCCTTTTTCAACATGAAAAACACCATGTATAATTTGCACTTTTGAAGATGATTGCCAATTCCTGGCATTGAAACAATGCTGAATTGGCAATCTAAGAAGTGACTCACTAACACTTTTAAACAGTCAGTAAGCATCTTAATATCTGTAGGTAGGAGCGCTTGGGCAGATAATGAATTCTCAGCTAGAGTTTATTTTTAAAGAAATGCTAAGGCCCTACTCCATCCGTATTCACTGAGATCCAAACCCAGAGCTTCCTATCCCTCCACAGCTCAACAGAGACCAGTTTAAGTGTGTGGACACGATGACTCTTTCAAAGTGAGAAGCACTAGAAGTCTTAGCTGGAAAGTTTTGCTGGCCTCTCAGAGGGCAAGGTCAAGTTGAACCCATCATCATTTGGTCTTTGGATTGGACAAGAAAATTTATCCCTGGGCAATTTAAACTTTCATGTATTGAATACCATTCCCCTTGGTTCCATGATTAGTTTGCCTCTGAATTGTTTGTTTTTAATTTCCACTTACAGTTGGAATACTTTTTGTTGTGGCTGTTAGCTGTTAGTGTTCTATTTGGGTAAAACAATGTTGGTTTGTGCAAAATCCATAAAAGCCATAAGCACGAAGAAAGAGATATATTCACTTCCTTGGAGGTTCACATTGCCCTATAAAAACTAAAACTAGCGGCTTTTCTCTGTAGTTCCCCACACTGGATGCCAGTTGGCAAAACAACTCCTTGCCTGCACTGTGCAAGCTAAATAAATAAGGAAATATAATTTTGATGTAACAGATAAATGTTTAAATGGGTATCTCATAGCGAGTTTACTTTATTATTTCCCTATAATGATGTACTTCTGTCTCTAACTTGTTTCCCAGAAATTTTAGATGGCTTATAGGGAACATATAAGTACAAGATAACAAGTCAGTAGTGAGGAATTTTCTAGATTGAGCACGTATTCCTCTTGCAAAAAAGAAAAAGAAAGGAATAAGAGTTAGTTAAAAAGAGAGAGAACAAGAGAAGAACCACAAGAAAAGACACTTGAGAACAAGACAGGATGAAAGCTGATACTAAAAAGGCAATGCCTAGGCTCCCAGCTGCACTGAGCAGACAGAGTGCTGCACCAGGCGGAGGCTGGGCATTGAGAACGATGTAGAACACACATCGGAAAGACTCCCTGCCTGCACCACTCCGAGGCTCCTGTGACTGTGTGGGGAAACACAGAAGAATAAATTGTGGCAGGACCATAAAAGGAAGGTAAGTTCTTATGATGAGAGACTGTCACACCAGGTCTGAATTAGACAGGGGCTCAAGAAGCTCATCTGAGAAGTGAGAGCAAAGCAGAGACATGAAGAATAAGTGGGAACAATGAGATGAAGATTGGAAAAAGATGTTTTCAGGCAGCAGGAAGAACTTGTATAAACAACCTTCCCCTAAAGCAACTGAATGAGAGTCTGGAGAGGCGCTGGAGTAGCAGAGAGGGCAGACGCGAAAAGCTGATGTGTATTAAGTTCTTTCTCTATACCAGGCACTGTTCTAAGCCCTTTCTATGCATTCATTCACTTAATCCTTATAAAAAGTCTATGGCGTGATACTATTATTTTCCCATTTTATAGATCAGTAAGCTGAGGCATGGAAAGATTAACAATTGTTTTCAAGGTCACACATCTAGCAAGAAGTGAGACCAGACTGTGGACCTCAAACCCTTAACCACTAGACCACATTATGTATCACCGAGTCAATCAAGGAGAACCTTACGGGCCATGATAAAGTTCAGGGCTTTATTCTAAGTAGCATGGAGAGCCACTGGAGATGACAAGAATGGAAGTCAGAGACACCAGAGAGGTCATGAGACACCAGCAGGGAAGTTCTTGTGGGCCGTGGATGGAGCTGATGGGAGAGGAAGTGGCTGCTCAGTTCATTTTAGAATTATTCATAAAAATTCTGGTTAGTCTTGATTAAGAGTCCTCAAAATCAGTTTGTTTGTTTGTTTGTTTTTATCTAAGAAGTAAATGCTTCAGAGAAATTCATGATTTAGACATAACATTCTGGGGGAGGAAAATCTGTAAAAGTTGAAAATTAAGTCTTATTAAAAATTAAAAAAAAACATTGAGCACACAAAAAACTTTCAGTCACAATACTGTTAAAGAAAATGTAATAAAATAGACACCAGAGCTGTAGGTGGGGGGAGGGTGGTTGGAGAAATGGAAAAAGGTGGAAGGATTTAAGAAAAACAGAGAAAATACTCATGGACATAAACCACGGTGTGGGGATTGCTGGGGGCGGGGAGAGGTTGAGGACAGTAAGGGAGGGATAAACAGTGATGGAAGGAGACAACTTCAGGGTGAACACACAGTGCAGTGTACAGACCACGTGTTGTGGAACTGTGTCCCTGAAACCTGTATGATTTTGCTAACCAGTGTCACCCCAATAACTTCAATAAAAAGAAAAAAATAAATTAAAAATAAAAGACCCCAGGGTAAATTACAAACATTGTTATTCTGACACTAACCATTGATTAAAATCACTTTGTATAGTTTATTTCCTCTAAGAAACATAGCTGAGGTTGGTGAGACAAGTAACATCGTTGCCAAGGAATAAAAGTCAAACCCAGAACCTACCTTTCCGGGTAGTTATGATGGAGGAGCCAGTCAGCATTCGTAAGGCATTTAAAATCGGCCTGACTCATAGAAACAGCCACATGTTTGTTAAATTAGTAATAGATAACAATAGCTAAACAATTTACTATTTTAAATGAATTAGAATAGAGTAGAAAATATCAGAATGCAGTAAAGAGTGATTACGGTGTGTTGAACTTTGGTTATAGTTACATTATTACTTGGTACCACTTTTTTGCGGGAGGTCAAAAAGTTTAAGAAATAGTGTCACACTTAGAGTCTTACTAAGGTCGTGAATTTAATTCTCATATTTGCCTGTCCACACCACAAAGAAAACACGACCCCACAGATGCACCCTGTGCAGGTGGAGACAGCGTGCCGCAGCTGATGAGAGCCTACTGTGTGCATCTCATCCCAGTTCCACGATCAGTGCTGAGTGACGTCACCTTGATAACTTGAAATTGGCCGTGGTGAGAGTGTGCACACCAGAAAACCTGACAAATTGTATAAATCAGGGCTATTGTCTGTCTAGAAAGACAGTTGTTTAAACATTGTTGCTTGTGCTCAAAACTAGAGGCAAGTTTTCACCAAGAAATTGTAAATAATAATGCTAATGAATTCAAGACATTTATTCAGCCCATCCTCAGCTCTAGGAAAGAGTCCACAGGCATGTGTTCCCTGCTGAGACAGGGCAGTGGCAACCTGAAGAAAGGCATAGACCTGGAA